AAAACTGAACGTGGCCAGAAGCTGCTGATTAACCCTAAGGGTCCAAAAGCCTCTGCTCCTTGCAGAATACAGAACAGGATTTAAAGGCTCTGTGAGACCCTGGGGTTTAGCACCTCTGCCCTCCCCGAAACCTTCACTTTAGAATTACAATTTTATAAAACTCAAGTATTTTGAACGCGGTGAAAGTCGAGGAATAACGAGAACTGCAAAGGTTAAAAAAAAAAAAAATGCTTATTTTGCATACTAGACCAAAGCCTAATCTCAATGCAATGAAAAGGTGACTTACCTGCAAATCTGTTTAACTAAAAGCCCTTAAATCCGAGGGCAGCTGGCCCGACCGAAGCCCAGGGTGAAAAGTTTGAAGGCTCCTTCACAGCTCCTCATCCACCAGCGCTGCTGGATGCTTCTGCCACGCGGGAAAACCGCCAAAACCAAACCATTCTTTTGGCAAGCTGCAAGCGAGCTAAGGAGAGAAGAGTGTATTTCATTTCTCTAAGCAGTGCAAATCAGTAACTCGAACTGCAAAAGGAAAAAACCAAACCATATCATTCCAGATTACAAAACAGATTCCAGCAACCAGGACACAAACTCCAGCCCCAGCAAATTTGGGTGGTGAAAGGGGAGACGATGGAGCCATCTAACAACGTTTAGATGCTTTCACCTAAATTTTACCTGCATTTTCACACTAGCTATTGCTACTTAGGGCATCAGGAATAAACAACATTTCTGATTATGGATCAGCAGCACAATTTAACCAGCCTGACCACAGCTCGCAGCGTGAGTACGTGCCATGGGTCCTTATTCTGGACAGCTTAGGTGCCAGGGATTTACCAGCATTGCTTACAAAACTGCTGCTTTGCTGGAGTTTGCAATCCATGAGCTTCTAAATTCAGCTTTTTTTTTCAGGAATGATTTTTTTTTTTGGATGGGGAGTGGAGGCACAGACACCATGGGTGCTTTAAAAGGCTGGGGTGTTATGCAGTGGAAAGTGATCACTGTGTGGCCAGCAAGGAGGCAATGCTGGTCTTTCAGCACCAAAAAACACCCAGAAAAATTAAGAAATACCCTGAAGGATGTTTTACAAAATATTTTAAATAAATCAGAGCTCAGCTGGAGCACTCGGTGCTGTACCTCTCACAAATGACTACGTTAGCATCCCTTCTCCTGTCCAAACCCCAGAGACTTTCAGACAGTAAAACCAGATCCCACCTTGGAGAATAAACCGCTCCACAAAAACATCAGGGTCACGGGACAGCCACCCACGTCACCAAGCCCAGCACCACGGGACCCTCCTTTCCCACAGCAAGCTCCATCCTCG